GTGATCCTCTGTTCCATCATTCGCCAGCTGAAAGACTCAGGTACCGAAGGAAGCAAGAACAGAGAAAGGGGGAGGGGAAAACCAAAACAGATCTCAGTATGCTAAATTTTCTGTGATGATTTAGAGAGAATCAGGGCAAGTGATCCGGAAATGAAAATGGAAAATGGAAAATGGAAATTGGGAATTGGGAATTGGAAATTGGAAGAATTGGTTTGAAGAACGAACCTTAATCGAGGATATGGAGAGGCGAGTGTTGATGGTTGGTTCGACAAGCTGGTGGTCAGCGCTCCGGCTTTGCTTACTCTTTCAGACTTCTCTGTGGCTTTATATAATCCTCCATCTCCATTCCTTCCTTCCCCTTTCTCTCTCCTCTGTACACCTCCCACCATCTCTCTCCTCAGAGAAAAACTTTTAGATAATTACAAATTTTCATCTTATTCTTTCGGTATTGGGTCTATTTTTTACTATATGCTCCAAAAAAATTCAATCATCTATGGTATAACATGTGTTAGAGCGTAGAAAATCAACCTCACCGCATGGAGAAAGGTGAGGGTCGGAAGGATAAGGTCTTAACTGAGAACCATTTTTAGAGGAATCGACCTTCTATACTTAAAAGTGCAAATGTTGTAATAATACTCTCCGACAATAATGTAGGTATAACCCACATTCGACCGTAGGTACCCGACAACCGAACATTTGGAACGACACCAATAAACGAATGGCCGATCAGATCATCAAGGGTCTCACTTCCGTATAAGGTAATGCATTCTATCTAGGACTTCATATCAAAGTAGAGTTTAAACTGACTTGAGCATCGAAAGTGTTTGCAAAGTCGTCCATTCAAGTTCCTCTAGCTATTATTGATCAAAGTTTGACCCTATTTTTTTAAGAATTACACATGTCAGTGAAATAAATAAATAATATCATGAGAGTAGAATTTGTATTTGGGACTAATAGTTATATTGGATTTAGGGTTAAATAACTTAATTCAAAGGTGAAGTGTTAGAATTCGTCTCATATGGTATTATTTGATTGCCAACCTACCTGCCTTATTAATTAGTATTTTATTTCATTGAGTATTTTTTTTTCTTTTTTTTTTTGAAAGAATTATTTAATTGAGTATTATGTAAGTATTGTGCGTCAAAAGATTACAATATAAGCATAGTAAAGCTTTTCGAATAACTATTATTAGCTTTAAATACCATTTTAGTTATTATTAGCTATTATTTAAGTTATTGGATTTGGTTTATTTGAGTCATTCCTTCAAAAAAAAAAATCTATTTTAATTTTTTACTTTCAATCTTCTTTTTTTAATGAAATATTTTCAAAACGCCTATTTACTGCTTGTACCTTGAAAAAGAACTAATTTGGTCTCTTCAATTTCATTCCAGTTGTAACACGGCACAAATTAATTTTTTTGAAATATAGTCATATAAATTTGTATTAAAGAATTTTCATTTTTATAAAATTTATGTTAAATTTTTACAAATTAGGATTAAAATAGTCACTTTTTAAAAATACGAACAATTGTCAAAGACATATATCAATTACTACGTTTTTTTATATCTATGAGTGTCTGTATCAGTTTACGCACACTTCTACTAATCTCACGAAAAAACCATCTAATCTTACAACATTTGGTACCGAAAAATACATTGGAATTACTAATTCCTTAAAATAGATGGTCATCATGAGACTTGAATACCGCAAGTTCATGTTAACGACTAAAATAACATTTTTTTTTTATTTTAGTGTATCTCAAACCCTGGGGTCTCATTTTTTCCTTTAATTATTATTATTATTATGTATTCCAAGCACTCAACCATAGATCGTAATTCTACTCTACATCCCTTAGGTATTTGACTTTGTTTCCTTTATTTTCTTTATTATCCTTTGGACATATGGTAGGATTTAATTAATAATGATTTGGAAAGTTTGAATATATTTTCTGTCTCAAAAAAAAAAAGTTTGAATATATTTTCAGATAATTTATATCCACAGACATTTAATTCTAAACCCTCATTTATTTAGGGTTCTGTCATCGCAGGGGGAGATCTCTTTAAATGAGGCTTTTTATTATTTATTTTTTATTTAAAAGAAATAACTCCCAAAGTCATAAATGAGTAGCATAGCTTGACTATTTGAACGATGCTATTTTATTTATTAAAAAAACCTTAAAATTTTCGACATTTTCATTAATGCTGCGTTATTTTTTAATTATTCAAATATAAAATGCGAATAAATTACAATTACATGCAAAACTCATTATACTATGTCAATAATTACTCAAAAAGTAGCAAGAAGAAAAAAAATATTCAAAAATATATTCCAATAAATAATTTGTGTCAAAAGGACTTAAATTTGCCTATTACCCCCCAAAAAAGTGTTTTTAATATTTATCTTTAATCTTTTCCCCTTTTCTCTCTCTTTTTTGACTAAAGATTAGGTAATTTCTTTGCTAGAAAGGAAGACCATTATCTTTTGAAAATAAATAGTATGGCACGTTTTTTAAGAGAGGTTCAAAAAATATAAACATATAAGTTTTAGAAATTTTGATTTTTCTGGTCCCTTATGTCTAGTTAATTAGTAGCATTTTCTGATTTACAAAACTGAGCAAGTAATTTGAGATCTGAAGTAAATCTTGAAAGGTTGATTGAGCTTAGCAGTTTATTCATCTGAGTGGTAGATTTGAAAATTTTGAGTTTATATTACTTAAATTTTATGCAATTAATTATGAAAATAGTAACAAATATGTAATTTGGGAATAAATAGATCCATATATATAAAACGTGTATTTGACTTTTCAATATTTAAACTTGTATAATTTCAACTCTTGAGTCAACCAACCTTTTAAAAGACGAAAAAAGAAGAAAGTTTTAGACAACCATTACTTATTCTAAAATTTATATGTATCATGTGCGTGAGTTAGACTCGAGCCAACTCCAATATAGTTGGATAGGAGATTTTTGCTTAAGTGTCACATTAGAAGGCACTCAAAGCTTTCAAACTCCTCAATCTTGACATGTTTGGGACTTAAAAGTTGATCACAATTGCCTTTATTCAACTATTAACCACTCCCCACAGCCAATGTGACCATTAGAGAAAGACAAGATTTAATATTCTACGATCTCTCTAAAAAGTTTCCACTTTTCAATTCACGACCATTACTCTCTTTTAGGTGAAAGAAGTATGACTACGTTACCAATAGTTGAGACTCAGTCAATTTCATTAGATCTACATATTTCTTAGTATATATTAGATATCAAATATATGAATTAAATTTACCAAACTCATCAGTGGTAATTTATTTATCTTTAACGTGATAAGTTTATCCAGATAATAGGTAGGAGGAGCATAAATTAAAACATTCTAGAATGGCACAGGGCCACCCTTTTTGGAGTTAGTGAGGAGGACAATCTCTCTCTCCTGTTTTAGCCAACACCATCAACCACGTTCATTTTTTAACTTGATGAGTCAAAATCAGAGGTGTATAAGTTGTCGAGCTATTTTTCCGCATGATACTAACCTAAATATATGTTGAAAGTACAAACAAATTACCACATTAGTTAAAGAAGAGGAAGATTCATTATATATAAGTGATGACAACTATCTACGTTGATATGATATATTTTTAATGAAACACAAAATAAAGTCATGAGAGTTATTATATTTAAAATAGACAATATCATATCATCGTAAAGATATATAAAATCGAAACTCACCGCTCTACGCACCATGTCAAGTTGATTAATTTTGGAATATTTTCGAGTTCCACTCCTATCTTCAAAGAAAAGGTAAAAAGAAAGAAAGAAAATGGGGAAAAATGGAAAACAAAAACCTTGGTCTCAAAAATTCACCCCATTTCGTTTCGTGGAGCTTTTTGTTTTATCCACACACATGGCGCTTTTCAAAGAGATTCCATGGACCAATAGGAGCTCGGCATCAAAACCCGCGGTCCCACAAAACGGAGGGTGGAGATCATCCCTCACGTACGCTACGACCACACCTGATTCCACCTTTTTGCGAGCCTTCCCCAAAGCATAATTCTTAACGTGTGGCGGCCGTATGGCTCACGCACTCCTCCTCCCTCCCACGTGCTGCCACGTCACCAAAAGCTCCTCCCACTGTGGGCCCCACCCCAAAAGAAAAAAACAAATAGACAAAACTGGCAAATAAGTCAAGTTACGACGTTGACAGATTTTTTCCTCTACTTTCTGCGGGTCCCACTATGATATTTTTACAAAAATCGAAAATTCCAAATAAAAAAAGCTATCGTTATTTGATTCGATGATTCGGAAACGGACGGCTGATGTTGCAGTTCTGAGGATCCCTTTTTATTTATATATTTTTTTTTCTCTTCTTCTTTCTGTTGGTTGTCATTGCCACTATGATTGAAAAATGGAGCAGATTAAAATTTTGTGATTATTCTTTGAATGATTGATCCTAATTTTATTTACTAATTTGAGAAAAAATACTATCTTATAGGTTAGGATAAATTTAATTTGTTTATAGAATATATTTAATCGAACATATTATATATACAAGTAATATAATGTATAATTTTGGTGAGAAAGAAACACACAATTCAATCGAGAATTGATGATAAAAGTTATGGTATGCTTATAAGATTGTTTGAGTAGTATAGATAGAGACTCGACTTATTTACCGAAATAAATTGCTTGAATAGAAGTTTGATAAACCTATTTAGTGTGTCTAGGCTAAATGAATATAGCTTTTCTAAGTTGAAAGGGTTGCTAAACAAGCATTATTCGAGTGTTTGTTTCACTTAGACAAGAAGAATATCGACCTACTTTGTTGAAATTTACCTTGTCTGATGATAAGAACTTGGCATATATACAATCATATAGTTCATCTTTGATCACAAACGACTATATTGAAGTATGTAACAGAGATGCTCCAACATTTATGATTGAGATGTTTCCAATTAGTGATCTTTATCCTATATTCACTTGTAAGAAATAATGTTATAATAATTCAACTAAATTTTCAAATGTTTGCATAATTTTTTTTTACCTTCTTTATGATTTGATTATATATCATTATTATTAAAAGTATAAAAAAATTAGAATAGCGGTATTGTTTTATGATAAGCTGAAAATTGAGAATATTCTTTCTATGATAGCAGCCAAGGAGAAAATAATTAGGTAATATCTTTTTTTTAATTATTTATTTAGTGTTTTTGTATATGTTTGGAGAGAAATAGTCAAATTAATGTCAAGTCATACTTGCGTTGCTCATTTTCTACGCATTAGGTTTAGATTATGAGAGAGGGGACAAAAATTCAATACTTGTGCTTTCACAAGTGATATTTTTGTTGTATTATTATTATTATTATTTTTTTTTTTTAACATCATCTATTTGATGATAATTTATATTTTATTTTTTAAATTTATGCTTGGAAAAAAATTTACAGGTCCACGCGTTAGGTTTGTTTAATTATTATTGTTATTTTGATGCTTATCATTATTTTTTTCCTTTTTTTCTTATCATGAGAACAATTAAGATAACATTAGTATATCATATTTACTTTCATCAATGAGAATTATAAATATTGATCGGATTGTTTTCTTATTGGATTTTAAAAATATGACCCTTTTATCAATAATTTAAAATTTTATGGTTAATTTGAACTAATATAGTAATCAAATACATTAGATTGACTTTAATTAAATCACTAATTGAGCAGTATATTTGATATTAATCCAACTAAATATCTAGTATGTCCAATGTCAGTCAAATTTCAACTTAACTGTTCTTGAAGTTTCGTAAATTTTTACACTTTAATAAGGTGATTTATACTACTAACCCTATCTTAATATTACTTTCTTTTATCTATTCAGTCGGCATATTCATACTAAAGATACTTGACAATGAATCGAATACTATTCAATTATTTTATTATTCTAATGAATTTTCAGCTTTACTAAAAAAAAAATTGAATTTTCAGCATCCATTGCTTTAGCCCAACAGCAGGGCCCATCCAACAAAAGGAACGAAACCCATAATTACAGTATCTGGGCCCAGGCCCAAGTCACAGCAGCACTTCAGATGGTTCAGAGGAGTTGAGTCATCTTCAATGGACAGAAAATAGGCAGACTAATACCAATCCCTCCACAGCTCCACTAGCTGATGTATTTTGACCTTAGAATAGTGCTTCCAAGTAAGACCAAAGTGACACGTGTCTCCATTAACTGGCCCGCATTAATTCGAGTGCTGAAAATCTATTCCTCTTTTAAGGTTCGTTCAAAGAGGGCGAGTTTAAACTTATGACTAAACTGGTAATCAACAATGTATGAATGTTTATGTACCACCCTTTGTTGGGTTTTGAAGACGGAGGAGGTTTGGTTAGCTGAAATATGATTTTCGGTTCAAGAAAGATGTCAAGTACACAGGAACCCCATGACCCAATTGGGTTCCCATTCATTTCATCATGCTACTATGATGTAACGTGCAATAGTATAGGCTCCCCATTTTTTTTCTCCCAACAAATTTGTAGGTTACTTTTTTCTCCATATTACATCGCAAATGAAGAGGTGGCAGTTTTAACTTATTACTTATAATGGAGAGATGTCTATGTCTAACCACTTAAATCATGCTCATCACTAACATTAGACTACCATTAGCCAATCCTTGTACTAAATTTTATGAGACTACTTGAATAAATTTCTTACGAAGAAGGTGTTTGGTTCACAGGTTAAATTTGTGTCCTGAAGTTAAGAAGCCTAGTTTATATGTCATATGTGAATTTGTTTGTCCCATACTATAAATTTGTTAATCTCACAAGCCACATGAATTCAGACTTATGAAACTGACCTTTTATACTAAGTACTGACTTTATCAATTATAAAGTAATAAACCAAAAGAAAGTTACAACTTTTCTAACTCATTCATTTCTACCCTCTGAACATAAACCATATGAACTTAAACTTCTTTTAACTTCAAACTTCATAAACCTAGAGTCAGTAAAACCAGGAGTGAAACAATCTTTGATAGGAAATGCATTCTTTCTAACCATTACATGTCACAAAAATTTATACACAAGTCCCAAAAGCATTAGAGAAGGTACAAATTGTCAAAGCCCACATCATGAGACTGGTCAAAACTACTAAACCAATTACTCTCTCACAAAGTCCAGGTATTTTACAAGCAAATCCTTTCAAGTATTTACAAAGTTGACCAATTTCAAACACATAGCTATCAACTCCAACTAGCTTCTAATCTAACTAAACCATTCATATCCGAAAACACTGACAGATTTTAGTTGATTCAAACATAGCTAAATAGATAAAGTATCTATTACCTTTCTCGAAGTTGAAAATGAGATCTCTTACCCTTAGATTTGTGAACTAAAAACAAACTTCACACAAAAACTTATCTACATCCATCACGAGAATGGCTTCTTCTTCAATGCTCATTTTTCAGAGATTCCAAATCAACCATTAGAGGCCCTCACTCTCCCCTTGCCAGCTCCAAACTATGTCTTTCAGTGCAGGCCTCACATCCTTCTCACAGAACTTGTTGTACTCCAGAGTGTCCCCGGCCGACTTCGAGAACTCGACCACTGCCAGCTCCGGTGCCACCTCGAAAACCTCCGCTGTGACTGTCAGCTTCCCTTTCCTCCCCTCCTCCTTCGCCTGCAGCCTCACCTTGCACTCCTTCAGATTAGTGGCCTTGAAATTCACCTTCTGAGCCAGAGACTGAAGCTTGGCTACAATGGCCGAGGCAGAGCACTTTGAAGTGAAAATGGACCCTGATTTCTTCTTGCTCTCAAACAAGCTTGACAAATCAAAACCAGAGGACATTGTGGAAATGAACTCAAAGGCATTGTAAAATGGAGGAGAAGATAACTTGGGGTTCCCCAGTTCAGAGATTTCATTGTTGAATTCATCTTTCTCACTGAATGAAATTGGCTTTGAGAAGCCGTTTCGAAACCAAGGACTTTGCATTATCTCTGGCATTGAAACTCTATTCTCTGGATCAACAACAAGAAACTTGGAGATCATTTCCATGGATTCCGAAGAAAACCATGGGGGAAACTCGAAGTCGGCCTTGAAAATCTTCCTATACAGCTTCATCACATTATCAGCTCGAAATGGCAGAGCCCCAGCAAGCAAAACATACAGGATCACCCCACAAGACCAGATATCTACCTTGGCGCCGTCGTATCCGCGCTTTCGGAGCACCTCAGGCGCCACATATGCCGGCGTCCCGCACCGCGTGTGGAGCAAACCATCGACTCGGAGCTGCTCCGGCAGGGCGGAGAGGCCAAAATCGGAGACCTTCAAATTCCCATTCTCATCGACAAGGAGATTCTCCGGCTTCAAGTCCCGGTGCGAGACGCCGCGGCTGTGGCAGAAGTCGACGGCGGAGACGAGCTGCCGAAAGTACTTTCTGGCTGCGTCCTCCGTCAGTTTTCCTTGTTTAGACAATTTCACAAACAGTTCGCCGCCACTAACGTACTCCATCACAAAGTAAACCTTTGATTTCGTCGCCATTACTTCTTTTAATTCCACGATGTGGGGGTGACGAACCAGGCCCATGACGGAGATTTCTCGCTGGATTTGATCCAGAAGCCCCTCTTTCTTCACCCTCTCCTTGAGGATCACTTTAATTGCGACGCTCTCGTGGGTCACCAAGTTTCTTCCATAATAGACCTTAGCAAAGGTCCCTTTCCCTAATAGCCGCCCCATTTCGTATTTCCCAAACAGAACATTTCTCGACGGCGCCGCCTCACCCGCCATCTCTTTATCTTCAACGAAGTGAAAGAAAAGAGTTTCAAATTTGGGTTTCAATTCAGGCCCAGCGACGATGGAGATAGAGGAGAAATCGGCATGACCCAGATGAGAAAACGTAACATTTTCCCGGGAAAAGGTGTGGATTGATGAGAAAATAGAGTGGGGAACTGATTTGGAGTCGAAAACAGAGCATTATCGGCGGGAAATGAAGATAAAAGTGATGGGGAAATTGATTGGGGGATGGGAAAATGGCTGCGCGAGTGAACTGTGGGCGAGAATCAGGGGTAGTGGATTGGTGGGAGAAATTAGGCGATTGGATGATGAAAACGATAAAATTGGAGGAGATATGAAAGAGTAGGGCACTGTGCTCCAACCATTGAAGAACACGGTTAAGTTTTTGGCTTTTGTTTTTTTGGGGGATTCCGGAAGCAGTGGGCTATCGTAATCAGCACATAGAAATATCTACGTTTTTCATATTTGAATAATTTAGAATATTTCTTCCCGTAGATGCTTGACACATCAAGCATTTGTGGGTCCAAAGATATTATTAATATGCCTTGATCACGCTCAAATTATCACGAAACTTTTCGAAGAATATTCAGATTTTCAATTTGAGCATAGTTTATTTAGTTTAATTTGCATTTGTCCTACCAATAAGGTTCAAATCTCACATTATTGTTGAGTTCTAAAAAGAAAAAGAAAAAACTTGAGAATAGCTATTGGGTTAGGGTTTAGTCTAAACGTCAATATTTTGAATTTCTATGCTAATTAGTGGGATAAAAGATACCTATTGCATCCCTTGAGATTAAAAGTTTAATCTTGACCTTTACAATTGTTTGAGCTATAACAATATTTAAATCTCCAAACCTTAATTATAATGTTATATTCTCCACAAAAAAAAAAAAAAATCAAATACATCGTCATGATCAACCTAAGCATTTTGGCCAACATGAGTCTAACTTCGATTGGTTAAGACATTTATCTCCATTTTCATCTCTATATGTTGTATTAAAAAAAACCACTAGTCATCTTGATCGTCAAAGCATATTTTTAAGTGAAACACTTCTTTTTATCCGCACATTTTAAAAAATCACTAATTAAATACGTTTCCTAAAGTATTTTAAGTATCGTTTTTTAGTGTTCTAAGAATTTTCAAAAAACTACTTTCATAGTTAACATTATAAATGATTTCTATCAAATTTACTGTTCAAATTCAAGATTGAAACAAATATTTACCCAAAGTTTCAGAATCAAAATAAAATATTTTCAATTGTGGAGGCGAGAACGCGAATAAATATAAAAAATCCGAATAAGATATTATTATTATTTTTTTATTAACACCATTTTTGCACCAATTGTATTCGGCCAAACTGGTGTAGCTTGAAGTCACTGGATTTCCATTCTATATCAAAATCATGGTTGTTTTTTTCAAAATTTTTATTAGTTCACTTCTTAACCCTAGCTTTTAGCTCCAAAAGAAGGAAAAGAAGTTTGATTTGATCTAATGTTTTAATGTTAATAGATAATACATTAAAGGTAATCATATTCATAGTAACGTGTCATTAGCTATTTTAAAGCACTATCAGATATTTATATAATAAAACAAAAATAGATTAAAAAACTTGTTAATGGATTTGACAAAAAGCCAAAGGCAGATATAGAATTTAACTAAAGTTAGTGTACTTATCAACTGATTAAATACTTTTTTTTAAGGAATATTCGAAGTACCTTCAATCATATTAACTTCTATTTGTGTCTGATTACAGTTTGAAATACGTTTTATTAAAAACCAAAAGAAAATATAATCTTGAAGAAATAATTGATAAGTAGTTTATTACGGACGTTTGGTTGATAATCATATAACAGAAACTTGAAAACGAGATATTAAAAAAAATAGAGTGTTCTTTTAGTATCCTTAGATTTTTGTTTGTCAGCAGTTTGATAATTGAATCTCAATTTAAAAAATTGTTAAAGGTATTTTTAGCAATATATTTATAAATGAGTAGTAATTACCAAATATTTAGTTTAATCTAAAATATTAATTTATTAACATTTTTGTTATGAATTTTGTATAATTATTATTTTACAACTTTCTATAATTTATAATATATTATATTTTATATGTTTTAATATTAACAAAAATAAAATGAGTTTAGAACATGAACTAATACATTAGTCAAAGTTTTTATCCCTTATCTTAAAATTTCAAATTCTAAATCTGAAAATACTGAAAAATGTTTTATAAGGATTTCCACTATTTGGATCATACAATCCCAAACAGTTTTAAAAAACAAATTTGTCAAACCTATCCAACCGTAATCCATTTGATTCAATCTAAAAACAAGAAACATAATTGGATTGCCAACCAAACAAGTCCTATTAAAAAAATATATATATATCCAAAGGCTATAGGTGTATTTTCACAATAACTATGATGATAATTATGATGCAGAAAATGTCAATTCAAATTAAATGGATCGAAAACGATATTACTACATGGATAAGAATTCACATCTTTAATTTCTTACCAAAAAAATTTCTCCTTCCTACCCTCTAATGGCAAGAAGGCGAAGAGAGAGCTAAAAGAAGTTGATGGTTGGAGGGATTTGGGGCGGAAAAAAATTGAGTTGGGTCGAGTTATGAGATTTTTTTTAGACCAATTTGATCCATTCTCCTACCTGATGGAACCGAATCAAGTGGCCAACTTAATCTTAAAATTATTAGGTTGGGTTGAGTTACCAAGTTGCAAAACTTTTAGATTTTCCTAGTATTTATAATAATCTATTTCTTATCACACAACAAATAATATCTAAAATTTCATAAAACAATTTACCCCATGGCTCATGTGGATATATGTGGGGAGAGACATCATAAATGAGGGATACGGAGAGAGATGGAAGTCGAGCACGAAAGATGGATGGACAGTGGGATATGCATACTACAAGTAAATTTAAAGCTAAGAGAGACGAGAGACTAAAGCATTCGAACAAGAAAAGAATTTCAGTACAACAAATATGATGTAGATTTAAAGCTTGAACTTAATAAAAAAAAAATACTTAGATATTTTTTAACAAGTTGAGTTATGTTCACAAATTTCGCAGATCAAAAGGATATTTACCCTCATTATAATACATTAAGAAGCTCTTGTCACCTTATTAAAACTATTTTTTTAAAAGCATTTCTAAACAAATGATTTTAAATGTTTAAAGAAAAGCTTTTCAGAATGAATGACAGAAATCTAAGGCAGAAACAGCCGAAGATATGGGCCTGTCTTTCCTTTGGTGGGCCTAATGACCAACCAAAGACCTTTCAGAATGGGCCGGTTTTATGATCGGCCTCTCTCAATCATTGAGCCTATGGGCCAGATTCCATACCCTTTTTGCTACTTATCGAACATTGGGCCTTTCTTACGATTGTTCTTTCAACAGTTACTTTCCACAATTTTGTCCCACCTCTGTAAATTTTTGACAAAAATTCTCCTTTCCATTACATGATGTCATAAGACATCACTTAATTATAATTATCAACTTAATCCGTTGATAATTATGAATTACTTCAAGTTATATCTCTAGTTAAACATAGAAAGAATATGTACTTAAAAAAAAAACATCGAAAGAATATAAGTTATAACTAGACAATTTTTAAAATAAATACTTATAATTTATTTGGGTAAAATATGGTCAATATGGTAATACTTTGGTTAGCATACGGTCAAAGTACAATAAGATTTGACATATAAAATAAATTTGAATTCTCAAACCAACTCACTTTTTCTATTCTTATATTCCTACATAAATAGATAAGTAGATAAGTGATAGACCACAATAAATAAATAAATATATATATATATAATAAATTCATGGAACAAATATTGGCTAGGGGTAAGAATAGAAACGCAATAATCGACTTTTGTTAAAGAAAAAAAAGTAAAAGATTTTTATTCTCAAAAAAGAAAAAGTAGTAGAAACTTAATTCGTATATGATGCAGTCTTACAATAAAAGAAATTGACGATTCATGTTAATAGCAATATTCATTGTATAGTACTAATTCAACCCTTAACTTCATTCATAATTTTTTTACCCAATTGGAAGTGAATGGTATTGTCCGTAGATAAATAACTTAGCAAACAAGTGAATCATAATATTAGTTGGAGGCCAGAGGAAAATCACACTTAAATCGAAATACATGAGTGTTAGAAATCATATATATTTATATATAATTTGAAATATGGAGTTGGATATTCGAACCAATGACCTTTTGTAAATTATTTCGAGTTTTCTCACATTTTTATTAATAAAATTTTCAAAGATATGATTGTCCAACTCATACAACGCACTCTTTTTAGTTTAAGAATTTTTATGTACGTGCATACATATTATTTGCAGCTTTTATTTATAATGTAATTCTTAATCGTAACACTCCTCTAGACGATTGTGGAGAGAGTTTTTATGTAAATTATTTCTTCTTTATTTTGGTCGTCTTTCAGCATGTATGTGAGAGAGAGATGTTCTTGTTGATTAGATCGGAAGTGAACGTGTTGAATCAAAAAAAGAAAGAAAAAGGAAAAAAATATAAAAAAAAAAAGAAAAAGAAAAAGAAATTGGCAATCTGAGACTATAAGCTCCGGCTGATACTGATAATAATTTATGACTAACTGTTCCAATTTCGGCTATCGCGTGTTCACACGCGTCGGTCACTGATTATTGACCAAAAACTTTTCCGCACGTGGCTTCAATATTTTTTTATTACTATTTTGCATTTTCAATTTCAAGTTTTCAACATAATAACATTATTTTTAAACAATATATATTACATTACATTCTACCAATTTAATATGTATTTAAAAAATATATCATAACTTTTCCTTTATTGTTCAAATATAGCATAAGTTTGATGTTCCTGATGTATTTTAGATTATATTTGAGTTCGACTTTAATTTAAGTTATGATTTTTGTAAAATTTTAAACATTCTATTCAAGGTTTTAAATGTCAATGTCGATGAAAATGTCGAGGTTTCAATTTCATTGAATTATCGATAAAATGTTGATGTCGGTGAATATTTATGTTAAAGTTATCGAAATTAAAAAATTGTAAAAAGTATTTAAATTATTATATAAACATTTTCATATTTTTAAATAAGTTAAAAAATAATTAATATTAATATTATGTATATATTAGTGACATTTTGTTGATATTTTTCATATTTTGTCGATTTTTTTATACTATGATGGAAATGTCGATTTACCACTCATATCGATGTCGAACCCATGAAAACATAGACATGTCGATAGAAACGTCGACGTGTCGATAGATATTTAGAATCATGATTCTAGCTACTACATTTAAAAATACATATATTTATTTTATATTATAGGAGAGTAAGAGATCTTGTGGGTTAGAAGTTAGCGGTACCTTTAGTTCTCATT